CATAAAACAAGACATTAGTGCATCTTTGCTTCTCTTACAAATGCCTTTCATTATATTAAATTGGTGCCAAAAATATTGATGACTGGAATACTTTTTCAAGAGTTGTAGTTGCAACAATCTAGATGTTTGATACCCAGCTTCATTTGACTTATTTTCAGAAGTCAGCTCGTGTTTAATTATATTAAATAAATACTCTATATTCAACACAAAAATGTTCAGACTAGACACATGTGCAATGCAGACATATTTATTCATTTCCAGAACTAGAGTACTTCTTGCAAACACTAAACCAAGAAAGACCAGTTTAATTGTATATATTACTAGCTGTAACTAAATAAATCTTAATTGTGTCCACATACACACCTGTTCATAAGTTCTCAACCTTTCAACACAGACTATGTTAACCTTTCTACAAATAGAGTTGTGCCATTCTAGAATCACAAGTTAAGAAAACACATTCCTCAAGCTTTTGCTTCTAACACACAATCATTAATAGAGTATACATAGTGTTTGTCAAGGTCCTTGCTCTTCCTTTTTGACAGTCTCACAGATATGATAGTATGACTTTGATGGGACGTTATCAGCTTCTTTACCTGATCGGTAAATGACTAGAAAAACTAAGAATGCTTGATTTGATAGCAGTCATTTCTCTCTTTAGACTTACACAAGGTGATTGTGGGCTAAGTGACAAAAAAATAGAAGGTTACAACAATAAGCATCAAAACGATACTACGTCAAAAGGTCGATGTCAGGAGGCGGAGTCAAACTGACCAATCAGGAAAGGCGGCTGATGTGCTTTAGGGAGTCTCGGGTTCCGTTCCCCACTGCAGACACTTGCTGACGTCACAGGTACACTCCAGGATGTAGTCGTAAGAGTGCTGTTGGAGAGTTCCGTCCTCACACATCATGTCCACAGTCCGCCGCTCACTCTTGGACGGCTGGCAGCACTGGCACTCATGGCTGGGGGTAGGAGAAAAAGTACATACTAAGTATTATGTCCTACCTGGGCAGCGATTACGTTCGATATGGGTGTTCCGGCCCGTGTGATAACTAGCGGTACGGCCCGGGGGTTCCAACGCGTACGGCCCAGGCCTTCCAAATGTTCCATAGAACATTCGAACGCGTTTCGCCCTAACCGCTTGCACCGTTTTCGAAACTTCGAATACAAAATTTGGACGTTGGAAGACTTAGTGATGTTGTTGCATTTTTTTTGGTTTAGGGACACCAAATTTTCGCTCATTTCGCATTGAAAGGTGTGTTATCTTGGATGGGTAATACATAAATAAAATACAACATGGTGTATTCCGCATCACCCTCTGTCCCAGCCCTCCTGCGGATCGGATCTCCCTCCGGCCTTTGGCCGTCGGGCGATCCGACGCGCGGTCGGGCTGGTACCTCGGGCGATACGGAATACACCATGTTGTATTCTATATATAGAACACGGCATGATTAGATGATCTGCAGCCTATTTTTTGGAATAAAAGGTTATAAACTACATGTAATTCTACCAGCCTTGCCTTTACTGTGGCACCTAGATTGAGGCTAGGATTTAAATAGTATAATTACTGTACCATCATAATTCACCTCAGTAGAGGATGAGAAAACAATGAGAGCTGTTAGAACCATGTGGTAGAATTTAAAGCATGATGTCATGATGCTATATGTATATAACAGGACATTAAACTGCAAATTGAGTTCAAGTATAGCCTGAAAGCTGTAGTTTCTTTGTACATGTACAAATGTAGGTGTTGAAAAGGTTTGCCCATCAATGTGACAGTCATGTTGAAAGGCAAATTTTCTTCGTCCAGGGCTCGAAATACCCACACTTGCAATTTGCATGGGAGTTTCAAACTTTGCACGTAAAAATATTCTGAACATGTAATTTTGCATGTTGAACATGCATGACAGTGTTCTCTTCAGACTGGAATAGTGGTGCTGCTACAGTTGTATGCTCATTTCAAAATGTATACACGGTATAGGGTGTTTCTTTCCTTTTTGTTACTAATTGCGATCGAAATTTGTCGAGGTTTGCAGGCACGCACCTCATTTCTTCCTGGGCCACCCACTACTACTTGTATGTAAAAATTTCCCTCTATCTATGAACTTAGTGTTGCAGATTTTCTTATGAATCTTGTTGTATATTATATAGAGAAGACTTAAGGCTGAATAAACTTCAAATTGCATATTGATTTTTGGCATGTTGGCAGAAAAAATATTTCAAGCCCTTTTGGATCACAGTAACAGAATGTTTTTGGCGACGTCTCAGGGAGGAGCCTAATGGTACAGTATTATGTGCAGTTTGCATGAATTCTAGGAATGGTACAGGCATTTTGTCCACAGGCATGCGGAATGTCCACAGGCATTTCCCTGACCCAAATCTATGCCCACATTCCTGGAGCCCTTGGGAAGACCTGACTGCCCCAGATGGCCCTACTTTCTGTGACCCCGGGGCTCGTTCACCATACACTCTGGGGAGGAGTGCACTGTATCTGTCTAGACTTAACAGGTACCAACTCTTCTTCAAAATCATGAAATGATGGTAGTGCCATGCAAACAATAACCCTAACAGCAACCACCGTCGCCATGGCAATGTATGTTTTCATCGCCAGTCTTGTTGCCCTTACTTGTAAGCACTCTCGAAGCTGAGGTCGTTGGGGAAGGAGACAGTGGTGAAGGATGGGCAGTGGCCGGCACACTGGGTGACGTTGACTGGCACCATGGTGGTACACGTCCCCACAGCCAGGACCTGTGCACCGCCCTCTACCAGCTCAGCAGAGCACGACCCACTGGGAGGCTCTGAAAGGGGTAACGTGAGAACTTACATCATTTTGTACCAATATTTTACATGATGATACATGACTTGTATATGTCTATACATCACAGAACATTTTATACATAAGCTTCAACACGTTTACAAGTGTCTACTAGATTTATTGCTTGTGTTGTATGACATAGTGTAAATCACTTTATGTTTGCCATAGCAAAAGGTCACGGTCGGAGAAAAATGGACATGTTTGCGGCACTGTACATTTCGCGGTGGTGGCAGGTGCAGCAAAAAGAAAGTCGGTGAGTTACTAGTATTTGTTCATGGCAATGATATGGCTGCGGTACAGAAGTGACCGTGAAAACTGCAAAACTAAAACTACCGCAAAAATTCATAATCTACAGTATGTTATGTTTGCATAGTGATGTAACTTACCCTGGCAGATCTGACAGCATCCTTGCTCATCCCACATGATAAACTCCTACAAAATAAGAATGGTAAATGACATCAATATAAAAGATCTTAACTGTGCATATATTCAACAGCTGTCAGCTAGGCCATGTTGATTTGATTATGGATATAATCGTGTGCAAATAAAAAAAGGTTTGCCAAAAAAAAATTGCCTTCATTTAGAAATCTATGTGGTCATGGAGGTTAAACAAATGACTAAATTAAAAGACACATGTGTAGAGTATGGTATGGCAATTAAGAGACTTTTCATTTTAATTTCTTCACATTTTCTTCCTTGCCTTTGAAATTGATTTTGGCATTCTATGACATTAGAATCGTTTTCCAATATTTTTTGCAATTTACGGCATATATTTGCTCATTTACTTTTGCTCATTTGAAATGGACGAAACTTCATGCGTGCACAGATGTCATTAATATAATGAAATCAACATGGCCCTACTAGAAATGATACTGTGTCCAAACACAGGAAAATTAGTGTGGTAACATGTATGATGTGGTGACACACACTGTGACGTTTGTCCTCACCTCAGGACAGTTGGTGACAGCTGGGCAGGACTGTGTGTAGCACACCTCGGACACCATGCCGTTCTGCTCCACACACTTACACTCCTCCTTGTTACACTGGTCCTCTCCATTCTGCACCCACTCATCTCCAGGCTAGGACAGAACACATACATGTAGGTCAGTTCACTCATTTTTACCTCCATGACAAAAGCAAGCCCATATTTCATGGAGGTATGAGATCTCAGAACTCTTGTTTTCTTTGCAAATGTAGGTTTGTGTCACCTCATGAATTTACATAACACTAGCTGAAGCTACTGCATTTTATGACTAAAGAGAGTATACTCATTTTTACACAACCAAGTGTTTTATTCGGCCAACCTTTCGACCGTCTGTCACCTTCCTCGGGGCAAACCTGACTGGTTCACATTGCACTGCAGCACAGGTGTCACTGCTATCAGTGCTTTCCCAAAGGTACAATATTCATATTTACATATCTACACAGTTACAGGGTCTCTTTGCAAGTGTTACAAAAGGGTTACAAGATTTTTCTGTGCCTCACCAACCTGATGAAGCTATTCACAGATATAAAATTGTATATTCTTGACGTCTATTTGGTCTGGATGGAAAGATTTAGAATGTTTTATTTTATGTTTTTGTGTGTGGCTTATATAGTAAACAACCACCATACTGCAATATCCATGTAAGGTGGCAAACAGACTGAGGAATTCGCCTTCTTTCAGCCTTGAAAAAATTCTAGTGCTGAAAAATGGCTACTGTCCTTGGTGCTGAAACAGTCATCGCTTCACAACAGGCTTTACTTCTCGGATGGATAGCCACAGCCAGAATTGAAGGTGGTAACACATGACTAATGGCAATTTGCACTATCAAAGGGACACCTTAGTGTTACTTATATTACTGTTGTTCATTGTTTCATGATACTTGGTAGGTTGGGGTTGATAATACGAAGGTCAAGTTCAATAATGGGCATTCTAGCAGCTTTCTAAGGTACTACAGTGGCACCTTTTGGTCAGATTTAAAAGCTGCACTCACCTGATACAGGATGAACCCTTGATCGCTCTGTGCATCCATAATGACACAGTCTGTCTTGGTACACTCACCACAGCACTGGCCTGGCATATCCACCATAGTATAACCCTGTGTAGATGAACAGAAAATGTTTGGTTTCACAAATAACATGGGATAAGGATGTAGGAAAAGGCCCAAATGGTTAAAGAAACTCACAAGAAATTGTAACTCAAGCAACTGGATATACATGTACTTTGAAAACGTAGCATCCACTACTTTTTGTCAATGACTGAAAGTAGTCAAAGACGAAAAGAAGTGGATGCTACTTGAAACGTAGTGGATGCTACATGAAACCTCTGACAAGTTTCAAAACCAGCTGCTTACATAACAATTTCTTGACTCAATACTAATGTCTAACCTTCAACAACAGTCAAAGAAACTATTATAGATAGCGGAGGCCCAAAACATGTTCAACATATAGTAACACACTGAGAAGAAATAGGCTTGTTTGCTTGATCAAACAAAATAATGATGTGACACTTTTTCTGGAGAGTAAAGAAAGAAAGACGTGGCGTCGGTGGTGCAATGGTTAGAGCGTTGGACTCGGAACCGAGAGGTCCCGGGTTCGATACTCACGTTGTGCCCTTGGGAAAGGCACTTTACATGACTTCCCCACCTATACGGTGGAGTGACGCCCACCAAGCCTCTTAGGCTAATCTGTCTGTCTGGGTGCCAAAAACACCTTACGGATTTGGTGCGCCGATATGACAACATCTCATATTGGCCACTGAGAGCCGTAAGTTTTTTTTTTTTAAAGAAAGCAAGACCAACTCACAGCAGGGCATGCAGTGCAGACTTGGGTCTCACACATGGCCTCGTATGCACCGTTGTTGGGCTTGCAGGAACAGACAGTACACACATCATCAGGGGTCCACATGTCTCCAGACTGCAGGGAGATCAGAAACAAAGTGAGAAAAGCTTGAAGCATGACTGCTGTGGTGTTTGTCATAACAAAGAAAACCCCTACTTGTTTATCATTTCAAGTGTACATATTTCAAGTTGCATTTCTTTTTTTTTCTGTACTTTTTTCTGTACTTTCTATGTAAAGTGTCATACTTGCACGCAATGAAGATAAAAAAAACAACAACACTGGTTTCACTTTACACCAACTTAAAATGGAGCAATCTTTTCTAGTATACACCAAGGCATTCTGGTGGGCCTTACAAACAAAGATAATGTTGTAATGTTTGAACTTACGCTGTGACATGAGCCATTCACATAGCAGCTCTCAGATCCACAGACAGAGACTGTAGGGAAAATGATACGACACTAGATTAGTTTTTAATGGTAATCAGTGCTCAGAATCAAAATTGTCTGAAAGTTGTTTTATAATTACATTATTTGGGTGTAAAGTTGCCCACAAGACAATTGCAAAAATACTGATTGTACTCAGTACCCAGTTTCAGGCTTCCGGTAATGTTCATAAACCCACCCTAAACGTAATCTATTGATTCAAAAATGTTCCTCACCGCATGCTGTTGGGCAGCCACATTCATTGACGTTAACCATGTCAGCCATGAATCCCTGTAAAAGGATCGAGAAAACTTTTAACATCTCAGAACTAGAGGAGAAAATGCACTTGTGGGAATTGTCTATTACCACAAGTGCTATTCAACTTTTGGTAAAAGTTACTAAAAACAATAATTGTTAATTTGGGCAAATATTTTAAAATTTTGTTAGCGATAGACAGCAACCAATAGATGATACTCATGTCATACAAAGCATTTTCGGGGAAAAATGACGTTAATATTGGATTTAAAAAAAAAAACATTTTGCAAGTTATACAAAGCATTTTCGGGAAAAATGGTCCTGCGGGGCCCATATATATATGGGTTGCACATACAGTACCATCTAATAGTATATAGTGCCCTGTATATGTGCGATTTGGGGCTGTTTCTCGTGCAACTCATCACACCGCAGCGAAACGCAACGAATGCGGAAGTAACTACGCCGCCGCAGGGCAAAAAAAGTCAAGGGTCTGTGACCTGATTAAGACATGAAATTATTTGAAAATATTTTTAAAAAATTGCCAGCAGGACAAGGGTTAAAATTGGATTGAAATAGAAAAAAAAGCATTTTGCAAGTCAATGGGCTTTACAAAAAATAAACATGTACTGCAGTCTCTTGACCAAATGAACCAGAAAAACCTACATGTGGGCAGGTCAGGTCACTGCAGTGTGCACCCATGGGCTCCTGGCATGCTGGAGTTGGAGGGAAGGTATTGTCAGAATAATGTTTTTATTAATTTAGTAATGGTTTATTATGACATCAACTACATCACAACAGTTGCAGCATGAAGGCTGAATTAATGAAGTGACATAATACAGAATTAGACTATCAACAATAAAATAGTACATACTGGACACTGAATACTGGACACTGAACAGGACTACTTTCTAAGAGGCATTAAGGAGGCTATATATATCAGAGCACTTTAGCCTTCACTTAATAGAGATGGTGGACGATATAAACTCCCTGGCAATTTTGATCAATTGCTTACGTCACGCATCAGTTAAGTCTCGTGTGAATAAGGTCACGTTTTTGTAAACCGTAACTCTCGTGAGATCACGTTGTGAAGTGATTGGTCATTAATTATCCTGATGAAGGTGACAGTGGTCGCTGAAAATTTGATCTCTGTAAATTGTGTGTTGGAATAACGTTTAACGTTTTACTATAATAAAATAGTACAATTTCTACGTCAAGCTAAAATTAAAAACAGAAGTATTGATATCAGCATAATAATCCATTCATTCACAAAGAGACGGTTTAAAATTGAAATGCGACATTGAAACAATTTTGTCTCTACTCACTGCATTCATACTGTGAGCAGCAGCCTCCAGCATTGCTGACAACGGCTGTCATGCCAGACACAGGGCAGGATGGGATGGTTTCATCACACTGGGTCTTGTCACAGCCTGGAAGATATAGAGAAATACAACCTCATGTTTCCCTGCTATATAACGATGAAATCAAGAATAACACAGTCTTCAGAGTTTTGGTTACCAGTAGTTAAACCTAAGTCACAGTCGAAAATTTACGTATTTTCTGATTTTGCATAACATGAACTGTGAGTTCAAAGGAAAATGAATTTTTACCTAGAACTATCGTAGAGTGGAACTTGCTGCCACCAAGTACAGTAGAATACAGTTAGATGTTCAAAGGTTAGGTGTAATGTAGCCAGCTGCCACTGCACCGTGTGCCTGCGTAGCTGGTGTGTTACACCAAAAAGGACAGTTATACTTGCTATACAGATACAGATAATATTATACGTACTGCATTCGTAAGTCGTGCAGCACTCTCCCACAGTGGACAGAAGTACCTCATCATCTTGACAAGATGGTGGCACAGGGCACAGGGTGTCATCACAGACTAGAGAGGCAGGAAAAGGAAACAATTATGATAAATCATGTTTAAATGTGCCAACAATATCCCAGCTACACAACACTGTACATAGTACACTTTCAAATTGTTTTCCCGTAGTGCTAACCATCAGAATATGCCTGGTTAAACTATGGTCGGACCTTTTTTGCATCAATTTTGATTGCAAACAATGTGCCATCATTCGTACACTGTTGCACTGCTTTGTTTGAACGTTGTAAAATACTACGTTCACTTGTAGTAAAAGTACTGTCAGTTGTAGATTTAATTCACGTATTTTCTGATTTGGCATAACATGATAATTAAATTGTAACACTATGTTGACTTGAAAAACTTGTAGATTTAACTTACATAGTATATTCTGATTTTGCATAACAAAATTACATGTAATTAACAAATTGTAATTTTGACTGTAACATCTGTGTCCATAATATCACCGGGGTCCATAATATATATCGCCACCTTGAGAAAAAGTGTGCTTAAAGATATTTTTACTGCAACATACCCAGGTATGTACATTTGAGGTGTGCAGGAGTGCATACCAAAAGTATGTTGAGGTAATAAATAATCGAAGGATTAAGAAGGATAACATCCGTGTCCATAATATCACCACAGTCCATAATATCGCCACATTGAGAAATAGTGTGCTTAAAGATATTTTTACTGCAACATACCCAGGTATGTACATTTGAGGTGTGAAGGAGTTCATACAAAAAGTATGTTGCAGTAAAAATATCTTTAAGCACACTTTTTCTTAAGGTGGCGATATTATGGACCCTGGTGATATTATGGACACGGATGTTAAAATAAGCAATATGTGTCAAAGTCAAAGCAATTCAGGGCCAAATTTTCAGGGCCCTAGCCTGCTAGCTAGCTAGGTACAGTCTGTACTAATTACAAGCAACAAATACACCATTATTACTATTTCTATCAAATAACTGTTACACTATGACTCACCACACTGGTACTCCTCACAACAGTGGCCCTCAGTAACCTGTAGTGTATGGTGTGGGGAGCAGGTCGGGGCAATCGGGCACAGGCTGGAGTCACATGCTGCAATGGTGGCAGAATACATGTATAACACATTGTTCTTGTATAGAAAACAACAAAATAAAGCAAAAGACTGCACTAAAGTCCAAAACTCTATTTTGTTTTTTCTAGAGCAGCTAGTATTGTCGAGAACTGACATTTAATAAAAACTAATTCATATAAATCTATGTTATGCTTACATTTTTGTTTTGTACCAATAATGTTTTTCCTGTCCTTTGGAAGAGCTAACAGGTTTTGTATTTTGAAAAGAAGAGTTCCTTACTGAGTTGTGGGCAGCACTGTCCTTCCACCTCTACCAGCACCTCATACTGTCCAGGGATCTTGTCTGAGCACATGGAGCTGTTGCAGACTGTAAAGAAAGACCTAAGTTGTTAATAAAAACTACTTGATATAGATTTTTTTCCTCTCTAACTTTTAGGCTCTGACCAACCCTTACAGGTTGCTGATTTAGGACCATATTGTGTATTTTAAGCAAAGTATTCAAACTCATTAAAGGAGCATGATGTAACATTTCTGCACCAAAAAAAATGAAGTACAATCATATATTTTTATTGAAAAATATTCACTTGATTGTATTACATTTTACTTCCACTTTTAAACATATTTGTATAAATAATTGTCTCACATTTCTGCCATTTACAGCCCACATGAGATGTGTAGTTTGTGGTGCCACCCCAAATTAACAGAATATAAACAAACATGGATGACAGCAGTTTTTTCAATTTTCAAAAACACTCAAAAGATGTCTTACTTTGAACCTTCGACTTCCTGAATGGCACTTATTTGCAATGGAATAGGGTTGATTTTATACTTTTTGTATCATTCTAATGCCTAATGCTGAAAAATGCAACTTTAACAGCCTTGAAATAGAGATCTTCTATAGCAGCATATAGATTATGTGGAAACACTTCATCCAATGACTGCATAGCTTTTTTTCTGAAAGTTTTTGTCTTCATGCCCATTTCATAACATTTCAGCACCATGGACAGAACCTTTCATTTGCTGGACAATGTTGCAGACAAAACTGTCCCATACCTGCAGTGTATTCTGCACAGCACAGATTTGCATCCACAGGAACAGCCATTTGTCCTTCACTGAGTGTTGGCATCACTGGGCTGGGGCATTCCTCTGGTACACAGCCTGGGGGTGGGGGGATTGTAAGTTGGACATTTCAAATGGCTGTAGGCATAAGTGTACATGTTTAAGACCACATCACTTTTGGGAACCCCCAAAAGTGATACAAGCATGCGAATTAAAAAAAAGTTTGGCAAAAATAGTTGCCTTCATTATGAAATCTACAGGTGGAACAAATGATTAAACGCTCAGTGTACAGTATGGCGAATAATAGACTCTTCATTCTCATTTCTTCACATTTTCTTTTTTTCCTGTGGAATTGCGTTTGGCATTCTACAACATTAGTTTTGTTTTCCAGTATTTTTTTTCTTCAATTTATGACCAAATATGTTTTGTAGCTGCTTTGTACGATTTACAGTATGGTCGAAAACTTTTTTGTTGAAGCAGATGAACATTAATGTTCGTGTGGATGTCATCCATACATTGTATAATCGTATCGACGCGGCCTAAGGTCTCTTTCAAAGGATAGCATGTAGGAAATAATTACAGGACTTCACATGACTAAACTGGACTCACGGCAGTAGCAGGTTCCGTTCTGGGACACCTCCATGATCTCTCCCAGCTGGCAGGCGGCCATGTCGGAACAGTCCACGGTCAGGGTACACTCATCAAACTGTGGCATGGCACAGCAGTGGTCCTCATCCCATACCTGGAGGGATAAACAGCAATCAATCAATCAATCATGGGGGCGTCCGGTGGTGTAGTGGTTAGAGCAATCGACTGTGAACCGGGAGACCCGGGTTCGATTCCGAGTCATGCCCTTGGGAAACTAAGGCGCTTAACACGAATTTCCTCACTCCACCCAGGTGTGAATGGGTACCTAACTTCGGTTGGGAAAAGTCGTATTGAGGTCACCTTGTGGCGCCGAATGGCAGCCGCACAGACCCTTGTGACATACATGTATATATTCAAGATTTTTGTGGTCACTTCTGTACCGTGAACTTATCATTAACGTGAACAAATAATTTGCTGGCTTCCTTTTTGCTGCACCTGCCGCCAACGCGAACGTATAGTTCCATGAACATGTCCATTTTTTACATACTGTGAAATCTTGCTGTCGCAAATATAAAGTGAATTACAATATTAGCATGAAAGCTCATCTGTGTTTGGTAAATTCCATACAGAACTTTGATACTGTAACTTAAGATCAACACAATCATGGAGTAAAGACAGCTCACCTCAAATTTTTGAGTTTTGATCTAAAACATCAAACTTCACTATTGAACTGCAATCATGCAGACATACATCATGTGAAACATAGTCATCACGTTTGACAATTTACTTGACATAATTGAAAATAACAAGAAGTTGTCAGCAAAATTTAATGTTTTTTATTTTTATTTTTGTTATTATAGCACATCTGGAATGTGTAATCATGCAAAACTAATAAATCACAAGTTTTTCGTGGTACCTTTATATTCATGATTTTTGCAGTACCAAAACTTAGATCTAACATTACTGTGAACAAGTAATTTCCTATGTTTCTTTTTGCTGCACCTGCCATCACTGCGAACGTATAATTCTGCGAACATGTCAATTTTTCTCAGACCGCAAACTATTGCTACCACAAACTATTGGTATTGCATAAACTGATTCACACTATTGTTAATTTGGCGACTTAATGATCAGTTGAAACTGGTTGTAAAAGGTACAGACTAGGGGTACAAAGCTACAGAGCATGTCCACCCACCACTGGCACATTGTGTCCACTCCTGCACACCATCTGGGTCTGGTCAAACTGTGGGCACACCTTCTGCACACAGGACGTGGAGTTCAGACCCTTGCACGTGCAAGTCTCGCACGGGTCATTGTTGGGATGCCAGGTGTCTCCAAGCTACAGGAAAACAATAGGATAAAAAAACTTACCAAAGAGTGTTTACAGAGACGTGTATTGCCATTGAAATTCCATTGGAAACAGGAGGTAACGTTAACTCGAAATGACTGTAAAACTATAGAATAACACTTACTGCGAATGGACGTCCGGTTTCATCCACACACATTGCTGTAAAACAAAAATTACAACAAATCGATTTTGCTCGTTGACTTTCACATTAACTAAAGGAGTAGCAAGAACATAACTGTGCCAGGAGAAGGGAATTCATTCAACAAGAACTTAGTTGCATAAGAGATTGTGGAAAGGGCATCAGATGTCATAACCAAGATTACAAAGATCATACTACATCATGTATATACATCATGATTGTATATAGTACAGTATCATAGGTGGTAAAAAGTGACGCTACCTGATAGCTATTTGAACAAACTGAGGATTTTTATTAGAGAAAAATTATTTGTGAACGTACGGCAGGACTCGGGTGGAACACAGTTGCCTTCGTGGTCCAGAACCATGTGGGGTGGGCAGAAGCAGCCTTCCGTCTCCGTGGTCTGGCACGGTGTGACCGGGGTTAAACCAGTCACCATGTCACAGGTCATGGGGCAGGGTGCACCACAGGAGTGGAACTCCATAGGGGCTGGGCAGTGGAACTCTGCAAGGGCAATGAAAACATCTCAAATTATTACTCAAATTACTCCTCAAAACTCAAGTTTGCTCAAATTACCTTCGCCAGAAGGTTAATATGTTTTCGTTGCTGTGTGTCTGTGTGTCTGTCAACAGCATAACTCGAGAAGGCTTAGATGGATTATCATGATTATTTGGTAGGTGGGTAGGTCTTGATGAGAGCTAGAAATGATTAGATTTTGGGCCCCCTAGCTATAGCAACTTGTTATGCTACTGCAGCGGAACCTCCAGCGGAATATCTTATGATCTGGAAATGCTAGATATAGCGTCATAATTTTTTAAAATAAAATCTTTGTGTTGTTTTATATTTGCAGACCTCTCTAGCATTGAATGTAATGTAAATGATGCATTTTACATCATACCTTGATACATGTAGCCTAAATGAGTCTTTTCCATTGATTTTATCTCTCATCTGCAAAAATGGAAAGTTGTACATTCCCTAAGTACTTCTTACCGCAGAGGCCTTCGCGCCACTCGAGACAGACACCATGGCGGTCGCATTCACGTGCGTAGGCTGCAAGGGAGTCGCAAGACAGCTCCAACCCCACATTGCAAACATCGTACTTGCAAGTGTCAAGGAAGACCTAGCATGGAATATGTGACAAAGTTATAAGTTATGAATATGAGTGACATGGTTTAAATGGTGCAAAGGAAGAGTAAGAGTTTGCAGTTTTATCTGTAGTAGCCATTAAAGAAGACTATTGCAGTCCAAATACATGTACATCACAAAGCAGTGTTAGTAGTGAATATTGTCTTTGATTGGAGTTTGATGCACACCCTATTTTATTCTAATCTTTTAAAATATTTTTACCTCCATGAAAAATGGAGGTATTGTTTTTGGTGTGTCTGTCTGTATGTATGTATGTATGTCTGTCTGTGTGTGTGTGTCTGTCTGTCTGTGTGTGTTTCCGCAACTTTGTGGTCAGCATAACTTCAGAACGCCTTTATAGATTATGATGATATTTGGTATGTTGGTAAGTCTTAGGAAGACAAACGTCAAGGTCAAATATGGGCCTCCTGATGACCTTGGTACTGCAGCAGAAATTCCGGTTTTTGTATCTTTTGTCCTGTACATGCTATGGTCTTGATGTTTTGGTGACAGATTGCTTTTCCTGTCAGGAAAAAGTGGTGTGAGTTTGGTCCCCCTAGCAGCTTGTTCTGGAACTGCAGGGTACTTTCTGGCGAAATGTTTAAAAGCCAGTAAGTCCAGATAGGAACAACATATTTTCATAATTTTTGGTGTGTAGGTAGCTGAGAGAGAGATGTACATGATTAAATGCAAATTATGCAAATGAGGACTTTATTTGAATAATTAATGAGGAAATTCTATGATTACAGTGTTTTACATTATACTACTTTCATACATATAATGTATGTAACCTACATGTATGGCAGGCAGAACATCAACAGATACTAATTATGCAAATGATGACCTAATTTGCATAATTTCTGCAAAAATTCTATGATTTCTTAATGGTGAATGATGGGAATGTCATACTTGGGACATCTGTAAGTTACATGTAATCAAAAGTTAACATACATCACGATGCATATACCATGTTAATGAAGAGGTAATTTGCATAATTAAAGAGGAAATTTACATTTACATATCAAGCCCATATTTCATGGAGGTATGAAATCTTGGAATTCTTGTTGTCCCTTTATTTTCTTTTTGATTATAAGCTTATATATTATTCTTGTAGACCATTTCATAGGATTATACGTGATTTCCTCGCTTCATGCAGGTGAAAATGAGTACCTAGCTTTGGTTATTAGGGACGACCCTTGGATAGGTAATAAAATGGAGTCCTGTGTTTGGAGAGAGCCACACCCCATGCACGTTAAAGAACTCACAACACCTTTCAAAATAGTGTAGGGACATGGTCCAAACTAACCAACTAACTAAGAGTTGGTGATTCACTGCAAGTCACCCACATGGAGGCCTGGCAAACCCCATCTTGTATTAGTCAAAAAAGGCAGCAGAATATTCAGCCAGTTGCAGGTGGCTGCCTCAAATTGAAAGAAGAAGAAGAAGAAAAGAAGATACATTAAGTCACGTACCTGTGGGTTGACCAGCTGGTGACACTCCTCAAACACGTCTGACAAGATGACCTCACACTGGGAGAAGTCGGCTACACACTCGGTCTGTGGGGGGGAGGTGGACTCGATCAGCCCACACTGCAGCTCAGTCTGCTGCATGCTCTCCAGGGTCATCCAGGACAGGGCGAAGACGTCAGAGTTGGTCTCGATGGTTCCCTGGGACGTGGTCAGGTCATCAGACCCATCGTAGTTACATGGTCCTGATGGTTACAACAAAACAGAGCTCTCAATGCTTTGAACCAGCCAAAAAAGAAGGATTCAGGTTCTGAATCAACTCCAAAATGCTCATATTTTGGACCAAAAGGTTAAAGAAAGCTCTTTGTTTTCCAAGTTGTTACTAGTTTTTCCACCTGTCAATGCATTGTTTTATAAAAAGTCTTGAAGAAGAGCATCACAGGCTAATACTGTCATGCATTGTTTTAGAAAAAGTTTAAAATTTAATGCATTATAAGCTAGCCTGGTATGGCTCCTACCATTAAGCTTTTGGGCTATCATAGGACACCAAAGCTTCATTTTTTTCGCCCTGCGAATATTTTTTCAAATCTGAGAACCAACAAATCAAATTGATGTGAAGAAATGATTGATTTTAGGCCAATCAAAAATTGTCATGAATTCTGTTATATGTCCAAATGTATTTTGTGAACTGTTTCAAATGATTGGTACTGCAGGTAAATTAATGAGTAGAAAATGGATAAAAATCCAAATACTCTGCACTACCAATGGAATAATATTAAAAACTTTTTCACTAATTATTGTTCAACAAATTATGCAAAAATAAAGACAAGATTTTGCAGATGATCGAATACAGCTTCAAGTTTTCATTACCACAAAGACCCTCTGTCCTGTCATAGTAGATTGAGGATGGCACCAGGATGTCAAACCCATGGTTGACCTCATCATATCGCACCCTGAGATTGATGGCAGGGATCTCCAGCACCAACTTGAGACCGTTCACAAAGACATTGATACCACCAATGGACACTGGTGCGGACTGGTCAACACCATCCACCGTTACCTGCAGAACAACACAAACTCTTGTTTTACTGTTTGTCGCATTGAAATTAAAAGGTTGCCTATAGAAGGTATGTGCTGTCTTGGATCAGGGAATATGTTTTATTCGGAGATATTAGGCAATGTTGATTTGATTTTATGGATGACATCCTCTGGGAGTCCCAAAACTGATGCAAGTGCACCAATAGAAAGAAAGTGCAGCAAAAAAGCTGCCTTCGTTTAACTGAACTTACTAAATTTACAAATGTATGTGCGTGGTCATGAAGGTTGAACAAATGACTAAACACACAGAATGATACGGTGAATAATAGACTTCTTTCTTGTTTCTTCACATCTTCTTCTTTTCCTTTGGAATTGATTTTGGTATTCTACAACTGTTAGTGTCATTTCCCAATATTTTCTTTTGCAATTCACGGCTGATGTCATCCATATAATCAACTCAACATGGCCTTAATTATTAGGGAGGAAAATTGTCCACCACTCAAAATGGACAGGATCACACCACTCTAAGTTACACTGTTTTATTTTTTACCTCAGATCCAGATGAATGCGGACTTACTATCCTGTTTCTGTTGAGAGTGACCTCGTGCCCACCGTAGCGGACGGTGACAGACTTGGTACAGGTAGGATTGGGTCCTCCCTCGCACAGCTCATTATCACCAATAACCTCAAACTCGTGAGTGGTTGTCTCCCGAGCCAGCACATAGGAGCACTGACCCTGGAAGGGGTAGTAGGTGCCGTCGAAGGTGATGTAGTGTGGATCTCCATAGCCATAGCAGTAGCCTAGAAGAGTGGGAAAAGTGTGTTGAGAAGTAACCACTAACTGGACTTGTATCAGAATCATTAATTTTTTCAGTAGATTTTCACATCATGTGAGACTATCCATTCAGTCAGTTTTGCAAATCAATATTGCACCCTGAAAATAATTGCAAGGCTTGAATCATGTCATACTTCTTAAACAGCAGCAAATGTTGAAAAAAAAAAACAGTAGAATGCTTACATCTGTCAGAACTTATCTTTCAGATAGATTATTTTGAAAACCAAATGTTTAATATCTAACAACATCACTTGGTACATTTCACACATTGGTGAAAGTTTATTGCAAACACATGCCTGAGGGCTACATGTAATTGCAAGGACACAGGACATGATGAAATAAATTATAGTAACAGTAAAATGACCATAAATAATACTACTAATGCTACTTCTTATAGAATTACTTTTTTTATGGGTTTGATTTTCCGTGTGCCGAGTATAAAGGGCCCAATGTCTTGTGAGGTACATGAACATTGGGAGGTGTTAATAGAAAATTAATGCTGCTTTTTGCAGGCTGGAAAGGTGAGTAAAGGTGGGAAACATTTTGGTGACTATTTCAAATCTTCTCTATCTCTCTCTTTCTCACCTTCTCTCTCTATATACACAATCATAATGTAACATCTGTGTCCATAATATCACCATAGTCCATAATATCGCCACCTTGAGAAATAATGTGCTTAAAGATATTTTTACTGCAACATACCGTAGGTATGTACATTTGAGGTGTGCATACCAAAAGTATGTTGCAATAGAAATATCTTAAAGCACACTATTTCTCAAGGTGGCGATATTATGGACCCTGGTGATATTATGGACACGGATGTTAAGTCTGCTTACAGTCGGTGCATAGTGCTGGCCTGATACACTGGTCTCCCTGTTGCACCATGTTGTCAGGGCAGAAGCAGCCGGACACACAGTCCACGTTACAGTCCACGTTGGAGTCGTGCATGTTGTCACAGGAGGTCGGGCAGCCTGGGCCGCACTCATGGTACACCATGCCTGGTGGGCACTCAGCAGCTGTGGGGTGGTGGTGTTTCAACTTTCTTAAAGAATGGTTTTATTGTCCAAACAGTACCCGTGCAGTCGCAGCCTTTATATGGCTGGATTGATGCAGGGTATCACATAATACTCAATATTACAGCAATCAAATAATACACATGATACACATAGTACTACACATTTTTTGTTCCACAATTATTTCTTGTGGAACTGTCGCAAGGGTCTGTGCGGCTGCCATTCGGCGCCACAAGGTGACCTCAATACGACTTTCCCCAACCGAAGTTAGGTACCCATTCACACCTGGGTGGAGTGAGGAAATTTGTGTAAAGTGCCTTTCCCAAGGGCACAACGTCGGGCGCATGTTCAGACATGTCCCGGGTACGACTCGGAATCGAACCTGGGTCTCTCCGTTTCATAGTTGATTGCTCTAACTCGGACGCCCCTTTCTTAAATATGATGTTGAGTCATGGGACAAGGTAAAACTCACATGAAATTAATGCATTCATATATGGTTTGTTTACTGTCTTGGTAGTGTTGGTAGTTACGTGTTTGAAGTTAATTTTGTTCCAACTAGAGATACTTCTCACCTAGAGCTTAAGCTTCTGAGAGACCTTGTGACAAGTCTCACTGGGTCAGTCTATCGAAGAATATTGGAGTGTCTGGTCGAAAGCTCTTGGTGAGAATTATGTCTTGAGTTTTTACTTTGAACAAGTATTTACAACATTATGATATCTTGCTTCTTGTATCAGAAAGAAGAGCATTGATTATCACCTTTTTGTATGCTTCAATCATGTGATAGTATGTTGTGATGAAAAGGTCATCGGGATTATACTGATTCAGATTTAAATTTCTTTACGTGTTAAGTTTCTTTACTTGTCATATATGTTCTAGACAATTTAAAGGCTTGGATCAGAGTGGAAAGTGTTTTGAGGTGACTTACGACAGCGCAGAGGGTTCCTCCAGTCCAGCACAATGTCTTCATCCAGGCGCTCACAGGTGGTGGCGTATGCGGACAGAGGATCACACTCACAGTCCGCCAGGTCAGTACCGTTGGTATGGCACTCACACACGCGGTTCACACACAGGTGGTAGTACAGGTCAACAGGCACGTGAGGGTGGCATGCTGAGAACACACTCGTCCTGTGTACAGATGTTTTTTTAATGGTTTGTATATGTTTTTGTTAACTTAGCAGTATGAAATTTATTGATGTTGCCAAACTGACAAATCTTGTTTCAAATTTTCCAACCTTGGTAAATTGAGACTGTTTTAAAGTATGCAAAGAATGGTAATATGTTCTTGAAGGGCAATTCTCCAAATTGAAAGATATTTATGATTCTACAATATGAATAACCTCAAAATTATTATTAATGACAATAACTAGTTTTACTAGTAACTACTCTGTGATCTTTGCCTTAGAACAAGTATTTATACATTGTAATAATTATACATGTAGTAAGTACATTGTAGTTCCTCTATACAGTGTAACGTCAACTTAAATGAAAGTCATGATGATTAGAACAGGCTATTGGCTATGGGAGTCTATTTGATTTTTTAAGGCCCCTTTGTAATAAAAAAAAACAAAATCGAGTGACTTACCTGAGCACGTCACACTTAGCCTCAGCTTGGGCCTCGATCTCAGGGGGACAGAAGTGCTCCACGGTTGATGTGAACGGACATTCTCCAACCATCCAGCTGTCTCCAAAAGCAATGGCATCATCCGTCAGGCTGGCATCCTGGAGAGTAAAGTCATCCTGGCTTTGGTGGTTGTAGGTGCCGCACATGCCACACAGCATGTTCTGAAGGCTGCAGAAGGCAAACAATTGTAATGGTTATGAATATTTTAATTAGGGTATTATGTAAATGACCACGTGGAAAGACTTGTTATAGAGGGCTATGCATATAATTGCGCGTTAGGTAGGCACTGATTGGTTGGTGAGAGCAACCAATCAGGTGATGGACTATTGTTAGCATAGTTGAGCTTGGAAGTGACAATCGCTGTGTTAGTCAGTTCGTGACCAAGGTCTCAGGTACGTGTACATGTGTAGTTGTAGCTCTGTAGATTGTAGTAGTACATGTATTTTATAACTGTTAGTACCTCATCTGTGTAACTCTCTGTGTAACTAAGTGCTAAACTCCCTTGTAACCATTAGACCACATCTACCTGTGTATTAGAGTTAACATACGGATCAATAAACCCGGCTCAGCAGAAGTAAACGAACTGTTTGAATCTTTCTCTATACTAAGATATATAGACGCTAAGATACCAAAGTACTACTAGACCTGAAATATTACACAATGTTTGCATATGATTCTTTGCATTAGCTGGCAAGGTGGTCCTGTGTTTGAGGGTTGTTGACTCAGAATCTGAAGGTTCTGGTTTCAAATCCCTTGCAGGCCCTTCTGTTGTGTCCTTGGGATTAGGCACTTAACAGTCCTATTTCCTCACTCGACTTGGTGAAAATGAGTAAAATGGAGGTCATGTACAGATGTATTTGAGAAGAGTCAAACCTCGAGCAGTGACCATGTTGTTAAATATTCCACTTCACTTATCAAAAGGAGGCCTTCCCGGTGTGAAAGGTTCAAACCTTAAAGTCAAGTCTTACGCAGCTTGAAAGTACAGTGTACTAAAACTGGTGTGTTGTGCCTAAAGGCAATTCACGGTTATGCAAAATAAACAAAGATGTGTATTGGAAAATGTCAGTAGGGAATTCAGACAGAGGTTGCATATCTAGTATCTTGCGTGTCAGTAGTGGTGTCATTGTTAACTACTGTTAAAGCAAAGATGTAGAATACATATTATTTGCTTTAGCAATGGGGGATTAATTTTGATACAATCCAGCATTAAAGCTCACCTCTCATGAACAACAATTCTGGCCTCGTAGGTCTTGGACCAGTAGATGTTAATGCCGAAGTTGGTCTGAATGATGATCTCGTTACCAACAGAAGTGATCCGGATCCCACGGTTTGCCAGGTTGGCGTTGAGTGTGGGAAGCTGTTAAGGTAATAGATAATCGAAGGATGAAGAAGGATACATGACGATTGTACATGATTGTATCTTTATTGACACAACAAACTTATAGCGACTTTCGTAAGGTCTTTTACAACTACACCTACAATTATAACCAATACTTAGTGAATTAGTCAAACATTGTCAAATGGATACAAATGTCAGAGATGAACTTTCATACATGTATGAATAAATCAAGGTATTGTACTGTCCACATGCTGAATACTCTATTTCAAAGGCCTAAAACATTCTTTAATATGCTTGGCCTATTTGTACACAGTAAGAGTACAAAATGCATCTTCTCAAAGGATGAAGCCTTAAATTAACATTAATGTATACCTCTGGTCATAACTGTTACAATGTATCTACATTAAGGTACATATAGAATACAACACGGGGTATTCCGTATCGCCCGAGGTATCGGCCCGACCGCGGGCGATCCGACTCGCGGGAGGGCCGGGACCGAGGGCGATGCGGAATACACCGTGTTGTATTTTATTTATATCATACCCACCCAAGAAAACGCGCCTTTCAATGCAAGATGAGCCAAAAGTTGGTGCCACTAAACCCTCAAATGCAACAACATCAGTTCCAACGTCCGGATTCTGTATTCGAATTTTCGAAAGGGGCGCACGCGGTTAGGACGAAACGCGTTCGAATCGTTTTATGGAAGCCATGGAAGTGTTCGATAACGGGTTCCGGACCGGGCCGTACTGTAACGTACGGCCCGGTCCGGAACCCGTTATCGAACGTTATCGCGACCCGGGTATGATATAAATTTAGGTACACGAGGTATCTTCATACAAAATTTATAACACCAACAAAACTGCTGATATTGAATTGATATAATTGTCAGTCCTGCTACTAAGAGTTATTCATTCACCTGTGTCAAGTTGAAGGCCTGACCGTTGAGAGTGAGCTGTGTATTGGGACGGTCCAAGATGATGACATCTTCTCCAATCCTGACATAGATGCCACGGTTACAGTCATCCCTGTTGTCTGCACCAGTACAGTCCAAGAAGGCTGGGATAGAGGGGGTGAATACATGAATGAATGAACTTTTATTGCTCAACAATCGTACAAGGTACAATGTATGGCAGTAATACAACAATACTACAAAACTTTACTTACTACAAACTATCTAAACAGTATTTGAGTTACCATATAGTCATGTATTGATGATATGTTTAATATGAAATAAAGTGTACAAAAATTGGCCTACATAAGCAGATATGGTAGTTGGACATGACAATAATTCATGGAATGTATCGTGCTGTGTACCAGATTGGGTGAATTTTGTCTTTAGTTAGTAGTAATAGTCTATACAGGAATAGACAAACCCATGAGAAACAGCTAACTTCAACTTATTTCACAGCAGTTTAGTTTTCAATTTACATTAATTTTGTAAGGTTTCTATATTTAGTAGATGACATTAGACAATAAAGTTATTTATGAATGCATATTGTCAGGTAACAAGTTGTACAATGTTGTACAATATGATAATGTCTATCCTAGCCTTCTAGCTATCTAGCCAATCTAGCCCTCCCAACAACTTCTGAACATGGCACTGGGGAGGTCAAACTGCTTCCCAACAATTGTTGGGAGCAACAGGACAAGGTTATTAAAATATCTTTCTGAAGAAAATTGTCATAAGAAAATCCTCCTCACCGTGGACTTCAAACCTGTTGTGGACACAGTCCTTTGCCAGCACGTTGTTGCAGATTGGGTAGTCATAGACAGTGCCATCAAACGTCTGGATTGTGTCATCGAACATGATGCAGGTATCTGGGGGTAAAATCATACAAATGAGACGCTGGTGAAGTTTCGACATCCAGGTAATAAGATTAATTTAACACAGGCAAAATAACAGTTACTCAAGGATATGATTGTACAATATCATTTATCCAGTGCTTGAGTAACTGTTTTTTGGCATACAAATAAGAGGTTAGATGAAACTTTAAGGATGGGTGTGATGGAATTAAACTTATTCTTCTTCTTGAAGAAGTTGGCTGAATGTTTAGAGACATTTCATTATGCAAATCAAGTAAGGCCCAGTTTAGCCATAAAAAGCCATATTTTATACAGATGACATCATTGGCCCTGAGGAACATGGCTCCATTGATAAGGAGAAACTGTGTTACAGTATAACGTTATATAAATCCATAAGGCATAACTCACCCATCACAATAAATGGCCTCATGGTGCTCATGGTGCTGGTGGTTACAGGCACAGTGGTGGGCTTGAAGCTAGTCAGAGGTGGTGTAGTTGTGGGTTTGGCTGCTGTTGTGGTGGGCTGGGGAGGCTTCTCTGTAGAGATCTGTCCTGTGGTACTTGGGATAGGCTTGCCTCCTGTTGTCACAGGGAACAGTGGCATGGTCGTGGACACTGTCTCACCGTGGATGGCAGGGGTACCGGTGGTCTCGGTAACAGGTTTTGGAGTGGTGGTTGTAAGCAAGGCAGTGGTTGGCTTGGTTGTTGTCACCATTGTCATGGTAGTTGCTGTGAATCAATGTGTTGTTTTATTACTTCGAATCATGTATTGAAATGCATTGTACGCATAAGGTTAGTTCTTTCTTTCTTCCCTTTGTCCTTTTTCTTTCTTTCTTTATCAACATTGCAGATATAATGCAATGTTGCCTGAATGGCGTTGATATTTATTAAATTAAAAGGGGTAGAATGCTAAAATTGAAAGTTGTTGAAACAGTTTTCTATTCCTCTGCCACAAAGAATAAATAATTCGAAGATAGGTATATACAATGTTCTAGGTAAACAATGGTCTGGACAAGTGTACATGTGTACTTTACAGGTACATGTATTTGTTCAGTAAGAGCTTTTACTGTATGTCTTTTGAAAATAAGTTCAGAACATGGTGCTGTAAACGTACCAGGTCCACACTCGCAGAAGAAGCGGATCTCGTAGTCGTGACACATGTAGTTGTCAGCCACCTGGTCCATGTTGTGACACTCCAGACCCTGGTGGATGGAGCAGGTCACGTTCTGGTCAGACTGGTCGTGCATCAGGTTGTTGGTACCCACAACACGACACTGCACGGCTGCCATCATGCCCTGGTCACAGAACACGTACCTAGTGGCACAAAAAAGAGGGCACAGAGATGCTAAGTACATTGAAAATATTTTTCATCACCATACCATCAGACAACTGGGTTGAATCTTTTTGATAACTGAACTTGTCTTTCTGTACTCTGCCTGTTTTTGAGAATACGTAATTCTTCCATACATAAAAAGTGCTTAGTACTCTTTTTAACCTGCATGAGACATAACTATAGTACATATTATTAAGTGCTGTAAGTGCTGATTTGAGTGAATACAAAGTAGCTAAAACTGAAACTAAGGAAAAAAGTCTATATCAAGTAGTGATAGGGATTGACAACAAGACTGAATTGCGCTTACTGTTCCCTCAGGCTGTCGATGGATTCAAAGTCTCCACCCTCCCCAGTACTGGGAGAGCCAGTGTTCATCCACTCTGTCCAGTAGTTAGTGTTGGTCAGACACATTGGTGGGTTCTCCTGAGGCACAGGCTTGGTAGCCACATTGGTGGTAAAGATGGACGTAGGCTTGGTGGCAAATGTTGTTGTAGTGATGATTGCTCCAGAGCTGGTCGTTATGCTAGATGTGGTAGTGGGCAGGACACCACTTGTAGTGGAGGGGACAGGTTTGGGGGTGGTACTTACGGTACTTGTTAGTGTACCAGTGGTGGTGGTAGGCACTGGTGCTGGAGTGGTCTTGCCAGTGGTGGTGTGTAGAGCAGTGGAGGTAGAGCCCTCTGTAGCTGTTGATGTAGACACTCCTGTAGTGGTACCTGGAGTTGGTTTGGGGGTGGTACTTACGGTACTTGTCTGTGTACCAGTGGTGGTGGTAGGTACTGGTCCTGGGCTGGTCTTGCCAGTGGTGGTGTGTAGAGCAGTACTAGTGGAGCCTTCAGAAACTGTTGACGTTGTGATGCCAGTAGTGGTACCTGGAGTTGGTTTAGGCGTGGTGCTGATGGTACTTGTTTCAGTACCAGTAGTAGTGCTAGACGCTGGTGTTGGGGTGGTCTTGCCAGTGGTGGTCTCATGCCCAGTTGTTGGGGATATGGTACTGGTAGTTGTTGGGGAGACTCCTGTTGTTGTTGGTGGTGTAGGTTTGCCTGTTGTGCTAACAGTTGAGGTCTGAACAGCTGAAATACAGAATGAGTTTTTCTCTTAGAAATGAAAAATACTCGACATTATCATCATTATCAGTTGACCGTATATTGGTCTGGGTTATACCGTCCTTTACAGGGTGCCATACTCTTTATTAGCTTGATATAATACGGAGTTTACCAAGCCTTAGTCCGAGTGATGATGTAAATCGCCATGCATGAGGCTGATAGATTCGGGACAGGGTTTGCCAGGCCTCTGTTTGGATGATTCGGGTGAAAAATACTATTCTCATAAAACATAAACTTCAGGCACATCTTGCTTCACTCTTTGAAAGCAAACTGTCAACATACCAGTGGATGTGAGCAGTGTAGATGTGCTGACTGGGTTGGTGGCTGTGGTTGTGACCACACCTGTGGTGCTGGACCCCAGGGTACTGGTTGTGCTGTATGTGCCAGGTGTCGTCTCCTTGCCTGCAGATTATTCAAGCAAAATCAGCATTGTTCTGTTGGTATCGAGAATTCGGTTATGTGTCTGTGCTTTGTCATCAATGAATGTTCTCACATTGCTGACAGAAGTTTTGCTATATTTTTCAAATTAAGTATGGTAGATTTATCTTTATATTAACACTTTTATCAGTCTCAGTGGTTGAAATGTGAAGTATTATGAATTTCAAAGACTTATTAATGAGTCTGTGCTTCATTAATAAATGCTCTCACATTGCAGACAGGAGTTTTGATATATTTTTCAATTATAAGTTATGAAAGGGTTATAATAAGTATGAATTTCAAAGCCACCTATATTATATATCTGTTCAACAGTTAATGCAGTGTACAAATGTATGGAGCATTAGAGCTGACCAATACAAATTTAACAGTGACCAGATTATTTTTGGACTGAGCAGAGGAGTTTGGACTAGTGCTTCTAGCCTTTTGATAGTTAATCCCACACATCTGATATTTCTGAAAGGTTCTAGTTACACAAGGATCATAATACCCCCAAAGAGACCCCTCATGCTTCATTGAAAATGAAAAAAAAAATCTCGAAATAAATCCCGAAAATTTTTTGTCATCTCCAACTTTTCTAAAAAAAAAAATTCGAGATTTTTCAACAAATCTCGAGATTTTTTGTTACCAAGTATAAGAATCTCGAGATTTTTTATAGCTACCATAAAAATCTCGAGATTTTTTATAACTACTATAGAAATCTCGAGATTTTTTATAACTACTTTAGAAATCTCGAGATTTTTTATAACCACTATATAGAAATCTCGAGATTTTTTATAACTACTATATAGAAATCTCGAGATTTTTTATAACTACTATGTAGAAATCTCGAGATTTTTATAGCTACTATAAAAATTTCGGGATTTTTTTATAGCTGATAATTTCCAAAAATCTCGAGATGTGCATTGCACAAACTTTGGCAATTTGATAGAATGTCAGTACAAACCAGTGGTTGTTGAAGAGACCGTGGTTGTCGGCTTGCTGATACCAGTGGTGGTTGCCACTCCCGTGGTTGCAGCCTGAGTGGTGGTAGTGGTTTCTGCACTCACTAGGGTGGTTGGCTCTGTGAGGGCAGTAAGTAACAATAATTAAGGGTTAATGACCCACCCCGAGGTGAATATGGTGTGATAAAGCCTTGGCAGTTGCTATAACCACTGAATTAAGCCATCAAGTGAGCGACAGCGAACGAGGTGACACTTGTGAGAATAAAACACACCTGGCAATACTTGTATCATGCTAACTGTGACATTATGGCGTCATAATCAATATGGACTGGAGGCTTCTGATTGGTCAACTCCACCTGGCTATATGATAATAAACTATATTGTCGTATTTACTGTACTCTAAATGGATATTGAGATATTTCAAAACATTTAAAAAAGGATACTTACCCACACCACAGTCACAGAAGAACCTGATCTCGTAGTCATGGCAATATTCAGGGGCGTTCATGTCGTTGCTGCAGATAAGTCCATTATCAATGTCACAGATCACCTGATGAAAGAAATACAGGCAATGTAATGTGTTATTCTGTTCATATCCTTTCTAGAGTTCACATCTGATTCATTTGATTTTAGGAAAGTACACTTCTTTGATGTAATATCACCACATGTTAATTTGAATATCCAAGACATTCCAGGTTACATGAATTTCTGTTTATATATGTTGCATATGCTTTTGTTTGAAATTGACATTTTGATATACCGGTATTAAACGACTGTAAAATCTTTAAAATAGATTACATCAACTCAGAGCATACGTATATAATTACACTGTGTACATGGGGGTGACATGTTAACGTTACCTTCTGTCCTGATTGGTCAGATGGTATGTGGTTCACATCAGCTGTACGGCACTCCACCGACACGATCATGCCGTCATCACAGAACATGTATTTGTCCCGCAGGTTGTCCAGAGTTTCGAAGTCTCCACCGTTGCTGTGTGTCGGATAGAAGACGTTCATCCAGAGGGTCCAGTAGTCGACGTCAGCCTCGCAGCCTTTCAGGGTGGTCATGAGTACGTGTGTGGGGACGGGGGTTGGGAGGTGCGGGATCAGGATAGGAGGCTTCTCTGTGGTCTCTGGAATGGGGCCCCATCCTGGTTGTGTCGGCTCGAATGAAACATTCTCTCCACCTGGTGTACCCTCAACCCAGGCTTGGTAGGTGGTGGGAGGTGGAGATGTTCCCTCGGGTGCGTTGGGGCTCAGTGTGGAGGCAGTCATGGTGGTGGGTTTGCCGGGAGTAGTGGATCCAGTTGTTGAGGACGCACCCGTTGTGGTAGTCTCTGCCGTTGTCGTTGTTGTTCCTGTGGTACTGATGGGTTTGCCAGTTGTGAACGTTTCTGCAGTTGAAGTGGTAGTTGTCTTGCCTATAATAAGAATGACATGAAATGTAAACCAACAATTGCAGCTTTTGTTGAAATATTGTAAAAAAAAGAGCCAATTTTGATTCTCTAATGTTACCATGATCTCACCTGTGGTTGTAGTTTCACCAGTTGAAGTTGTAACACCCGTGGAAGTGGTAGAAACTGTAGATGTGGTCTCAACAGTACTAGTTGTACCTGTTGTAGGCTTCTCAGTTGTGGTGGTTGGAGTTTCCTTGCCGGTGGTTGTAGTTTCACCAGTTGAAGTTGTAACACCCGTGGAAGTGGTGGCAACTGTAGATGTGGTCTGAACAGTACTGGTTGTACCAGTTGTAGGCTTCTCAGTTGTAGTGGTTGGTGTTTCCTTGCCAGTGGTTGTAGTTTCACCAGTTGAAGTTGTCACACCCGTGGAAGTAGTGGCGATTGTAGTTGTGGTCTCAACAGTACTGGTTGTACCTGTTGTAGGCTTCTCAGTTGTAGTGGTTGGTGTTTCCTTGCCAGTGGTTGTAGTTTCACCAGTTGAAGTTGTAACACCCGTGGAAGTGGTGGCGACTGTAGTTGTGGTCTCAACAGTACTGGTTGTACCAGTTGTAGGCTTCTCAGTTGTAGTGGTTGGTGTTTCCTTGCCAGTGGTCGTGGTTTCACCTGTTGTAGTAGTGATGCCTGTGGAGGTGGTGGTGGCCGTTGTGGTGGTCTTAGCAGTGGAGGTGGTACTTGGGATTGCAGGCGGAGTAGTTTCAACTATGGACAATTGGTTAAAACAAGTCATTCCAACCTAGCACATCACAATTTTATCTATTTCATCTGCAATGGTTCACAATCACCACCTTATAAGAGTTGGGCTATTATTAGAATGAATTCACTAGATTGCAAAGGTCTGGTAATTTGAAACAAATGGTTAAAAGACACATACCTCCACAGTCACAGAGGAAGCGGATTTCGTAGTCGTAGCACTCGCCCATTCCTCCATGTTGGTCTTCAGCATGGCAGATCAGACCAGAGTGCTCATCACAAGTCACCTGCTGGCCTCCCTGTTCTACAGAGAGCTGTGTGCCATAGACACGGCATTCCACAGCTTCTACCTGATGAACATATAGGCAGTGCATAGATGTCAGAATGGTGTCATACTGAATAAATCCTGTCGCTTAAGTTGAGCTCTCAAGGACTATGCCAAGCGTCCAACATGATGAATAGGCCATGGAATTCGCTTTACTAGATTGGCATGCATATCGTTTTAGACACAGTAATAATTATTGCCCATCAGTAAGTAATTTAATTATTGTTCTAAGGGTTCTGCAACCATTGTTTTATATCGCCATTAATGAGCCAAAGGCATTGAGCAATTGTTTGTGGAAAATGGTTACAAACATCTTATTTCGCTGCCAAGCCAATATACATTGTACATGTAGCAACTTGGTTGGAAAAATAAACACTCCTTGGTGTGCACTAAACCATACCCTGAATGGTCCACAGAATGTGTATTCCTCCCTTAGGTTGTTGATGAATTCCACATCATCACCATCATGCCTGTCAGGGCTGTCGGTGTTCATCCATTCAGTCCAGTAGTCGTAGTCATGCAGGCAGCCCATGCTGACGCCAACATCGGACGGCTTTGTTGCAGTTTCCGCTGCAGTGGTTGGTGTAACAGTTGTGCCTGTGGTGGATCCTGTACAAAGAAGTATTTGAAATATGCTAACAAGGTATGAAATGACTGAAACGTGATTACTAATAGAAGAAATGCGTTAGCTCAAACTTGGTGTTGAACAAGGGAAAACACTTTCTGAACTATATTTTCTGCACCAATGTTTATTAAAGCTTTAAACACATTTTACCTGGATGTCATATAGGAAATGTGCTGACGTACATAGCATCCTTGCTATTATCATTACTGTTCTAAAGTTAGGTGATGATCACTATTGGTAAAGTCTTCAAATTGTTAAACAATAGTGGTGACGTGAATGCTTTTATTTTTGCCGACCTGTTGTTGTTATTGGGGTCTTCCCAGTTGTTGTGCTGATGCCTGTTGTGGTTGTCACACCAGTTGTGGTTGTCTCAACTGTGGAGGTGGTGGTGACATGTGTGGTGGTTGTTGGGCCCATGGTTGTTTCTGGGGAAGCAACAGATTTTGTTCATACATAATGTTTTTTTTTATCTATGCAATACCAAGTCTCAGCTTAGCAGCTGTCACAAGGATGCTGTACAATACCATTGAGGTGGCGGTTAACACAAGTCTTAAATTTGTGTCTGTCCTTAAGAGCTACAATGTCCTGTGTGATGGAGCTCCAGAACTTTACTGTGGCCGGTAGGAAGCTTAGGGTTCCTCTGTTGGATGTTGTAGATGACTTTACAGGTTCCAGAGCGTTGCTGTGTTGCGATCTCGACAGGCGGATTTCACGGCGGTGTACGTATGGGCTCAGGAGTAAGCTGTTGAGTGGTGCTGGGGCATCCTGGTTGTACATGCGGTGCAGGAGAGTGAGGGCCCCTACCTGCCGGCGCTGTTTCAGGGGTTGGATCTGGTTTCTGTCCAACCCGGCCTGTTGGAGATTTATGATCCGTGTGGCCCTCCTTTGTATGGCGTCAAGCAATTCCAGTGAAGTGTCGCTTGCTCCCATCCAGACTGTTGACGCGTATTCCATACAGGATAACACCATGCTCTTATAGATGGTGGCTTGTGTAGTGGGGACAAGTAAGGGGCGACCCTGCGCAGTAGTCCCAGGCGTTTTTCTGCGTCCGTTGCCATTTGCTTTATGTGGTGTGTCCAAGTCCTGTTTTTGACGTATCGTATTACCTGGACGTCTAACCTTCACCGACGTGATAATGATTTGTTTACATTGACTCTTCAGTTGATTAATACGATACCCTTATTTATTACAGAAAGCAATTATTTGATACAGAAAGCAATTATTAATACAGAAAGCAATTATTAATACAGAAAGCAATTATTTAATACAGAAAGCAATTATTTAATACAGAAAGCAATTATTTAATACAGAAAGCAATGCTGTTGTACCTCCACAGGCACAGAAGAACCTGACTTCATAGTCGTCACACAGATGGAAGGGTCCTGTCTGATCTGCATTGAGGCAGGTCAGACCAACAGCAGCGTCGCACGTGACGGTTTGTCCAGTTAGATCGGCTGGGATGCCTGACCCAGTCACTCGGCACTGTACGTCAACAATCATGCCTTCGTCACAGAACCTGTTTAACAAAAGGGATGGTACAAATGTTATGGCTTTAAAGAAGGCTGATTTGCCATTTTGAAAATAAATCAACCAGTTTTTTTTTACACCAGTGTTCTAGCCAGCCTGATTTCTTTCTGTCATCTCGATTTTGTTTCATGTAACAGTTAAAGTTGATTTGATTTCTTTATTTGTAACATCGTGTCGAGTACCAAAGGTGCAAGGTACAACAATGCAAACAAGGCGGTGCAGGAGCATGCTCCTTTGCGAAAATTTTGAACTCCTGAATCTCTGAAACACTGTCTACACAATAATCCATCAAAAGATGGAAAGAGGGATGCTGACTGGAACACTGACTTACATATTAATAGATAGATTTACATGACAAGAAGCTTATTTCACTTAAAAAATCATTTATCGTGTCTGTGAAGTTTTTAAAATTCAGGAGGAATACCGAATTTATTTTTGACCTTTTTTTTTATTCAGGTAGAGTGATGATAACTGGGATGAATACCTGTAGTAAGGACGAAGTTCCTGGATGGTCTCACTGTCTCCCTCTGTGTTGGGGCTGGGGGTGTGTACACTCATCCACTGGGTCCAGTATGGGTACTGGTGCTCACATCCTACAAGTATCTGTTGTGCTGGGGTGGTCGAATGTGCCTATGTATATATACAATAGAAAGAAAATTTAGTTGGATTTTTTAGCATTGACTAAGCTATGCAAAGAGACGAAAAAGAGATATCATCTCATGCAATCAACTGAAATTGCTAAATTAAACAACAAATTTGAGTTGAGTATTCATGAAACACGTCTTTCATCCTTGAGCAAGTCACGTTCTTTGTCAAATTGCAATAGGCAGTCACATCAATCTTCCCCCCAAAATGGAGATGCAAGCTTGGGCTCCTGCCCTTCTTTGAAGACTACGTATAGAGTGAAATATGCATATTTAGAGTCAGTGTTTTGTAGTTTGTTTATTTCATGCTTGTATGCTTACCGGTGGCTGGGTGTGGATGGTAGGGGTGACAGTTGGGGTGGATACTGAGGTTGTAGTTGTTACCATGGTGGTTGGAGTCGGTCTTGAGGTCTGGGAAGTTGTCAGCATAGTTGTGGTAGGTCCTGTAAAAAATCAAAGGAGAAATGTATAGAAAACGTTTTCAGTAACCATAATGTTTAGTAACCATACTATGATTGCAAGTTTAATTAAAATATAACAAATGGAATAGAAATGTGTAGAAAAAACTGTTGGCTACCTGCAGGACAAGTTACTGTCTGCCTGTAGTTTATTTTCATTAAATTGGAAGCATGTTTGTCATTCTGCTGACTTACATTCTATGTAACGTTATCTGTAAACAATCACATAAATTATTTCTGTTGGCTTACCTCCACACCGACAGAAGAATCGAATCTCATAGTCGGAGCAGCCCAAAGCACCAGTCTGGTAGTCATTGACGCAGACGAGGCCATCCTTGATGTCACAAGTCACTATCTGATTTACTTCGTCCAAAGGCGTGTGGAATTCAGCTACCCGGCACTCAACATCTACAATCATGTCAGGGCTGCAGAAGTCATACATCTGTTGTAGGTTTGTAATGGTCTCGTAGTCACCATTCTGACCATTGGAAGCTGGTTTGCCGCTGTTCATCCACGATGTCCACTGGTTCTTGCACTCAGTAGTCTGGGCAACAGTTGTGGTGCTGGTTGCCGTGGAAGTAGGGGTCTGCTTGGCTGTGGTGGTCTGCACACCTGTGGTGGTGGTTTCAACTGTTGTAGTCTTACCAGTGGTGGATGTTGGAGTCTCACCAGATGTTGTGGCGGTGGGGGTTTGCTTGCCAGTAGTGGTGGTCTCAGCAGTGCTTGTGGTGGCTGCTGTTGTTGAGGCTGTTCCACTGGTCGTCGCCTGCTCAGTAGGCAGTCCAGGAGGGTTTTCTGGAATAGGCTGTGTGAAAAGGAATTTCAGTAAACATTGCATAATAGAAAATTAAACATATACACAAAACTGCATGCATGAGAAATTATGATTAAATGGGGAGACTAATTGTCAGCAGGACTTAATGTTAAGTTGTGTGGAAATACCGTGGTTCCTATTGGTTTTCCAGTTGTTGCATGTGGCTTTGTGGTGACAGGACTGCTCCCTGTGGTGGTACTGGTACCTGTCGTTGGACTAACCCCGCTTGTGGTTGTTACACCGGTAGTGGTAGTTTCCACTGTGCTGGTGGTGTGCTGGGTTGTGGTTTCTCCGCCTTAAGAGACGGGAGAAGGTAGAATATTGTTCCCACTGGACAATATAGTGTCGATTGAAACAGGCACAAATGTGCATGCAGGAGCACCGAACACGTTAGATATTATACAGCCTTTAATTGCAGGTACTGTTGTAATTTCATCCCCTCTACCTACCATATTGAGTAACCATAAACTTACAGTGGCAGAACACGCTGATCTCGTAATCCAGACATCCCTCTGGCTCGTTCATGGAGTTGCTACAGGAGAAGCCAGTCTGTGTGTCACAGGTCAGACCATCCTGTCCTGTGCTGCTCCATGGTGTCTGTGTGTTGATCTCCTGACACTGTATGTCTGCCACCATGCTCATGTCACCGCCACACAGGTTAAAGTGATCATCATGAACAAGCGCATTGAGGTATTCAAAGTCTCCATCCGAGCTGTCGGCCGGGTTGGGTTTGTGAGAGCTGATCCAGGTGGTCCAGCCTTCAACACACACCTGGGGAGCTTTAAAGAAAGTAATGTGGTATGATTATTATAGTATATGGAAATGTTACTTTCGGAAGTAATTTCGGAAATTCAGAAATAGTCGAAAGTGATCCAAACCTATGTTCAATGATCATTAGAAGCAAAGAAACAGGTCTGTTTTCTTGGAAGTATAAGGAAGAACGTCTTGTCTAGAAGATAAAGCTATCCAACAGCATATTATATCGGACTTCGTTACTTGTAAAGTAATTGTTATTGTAGTTTCTGCTTATAAATTGATATGCATGAGGTAAGGCAAACAAGACAAGTATGGCTGCTTACTTAAACAAAACTACCCAAGCAAGAAGTACAGTTGAATATACACAATATCATATACAACGTACCTGTAGTTGTCACACCAGTCGTTGTTGTAGTTGTCTCACCGGTTGTTGTTGTCCGCCCAGTGGTGGTTGCAATGCCTGTGGTTGTAGCAGTCTGTGAGCCAGTTGTGGTTGGAGAAATTGTGCTGGTTGTCTGCTGAGATGTGGTTTCTCCACCTTAATAGACGAGGTAAAGTAGAGTAGTCTATTCATACAGGACAAATGACCGAGAGTACTAGTTTGTTTTCTTGCGCCCTTAATGACGCACAAATGTATAGAAACCGAGGCTCCCCAGGTGTGTGTCTGTATCTTAGATATAACACATAGCCGTTAACTGCAGGTATTGTTTCAATTTTGTCCCCACAACGCAGTATAATATGGTTTTCTAGTGGTTAGGGCAGTTGACTCAGTAACAGGGCTGTTGACTTGATTGAGTAACCTTATACTTACAGTGGCAGAACACACTGATCTCGTAATCCAGACATCCCTCTGGCTCGTTCATGGAGTTGCTACAGAAGAAGCCAGTCTGTGTGTTACAGTTCAGACCATCCTGTCCTGTGCTGCTCCATGGTGTCTGTGTGTTGATCTCCTGACACTGTATGTCTGCCACCATGCTCATGTCACCGCCACACAGGTTAAAGTGATCATCGTGAACAAGCACATTGAGGTATTCAAAGTCTCCATCCGAGCTGTCGGCCGGGTTGGGTTTGTGAGAGCTGATCCAGGTGGTCCAGCCTTCAACACACACCTGGGGAGCTTTAAGGAAAGTAATATGGTATAGTTAACTTTGACAAACTTTGTAAGGAAATTAAGAAATAGTCGAAAGTGATCCAAACCTATGTTAAAAAATCATTAGAAGCGAAGAAACAGTTCTGTTTTGTTGCAAGTATAATGAAGAACGTCTTGTCCAGAAGAGAAAGCATTTTGTATCGGACTTTGCTGCTTGTAAATAATTGTTATTGTAGCTTCTGCTTATAAATTGATGCATGAGATAAAGCAAGCAAGACAAGCATGGCTGCTTAGACAAAACAATTCCAGCAAGAAGTACAGTTGAATATACACAATAATCATTTACAACGTACCTGAAGTTGTCGCACCGGTTGTTGTTGTAGTTGTCTCACCGGTTGTTGTTGTCCGCCCAGTGGTGGTTGCAATGCCTGTGGTTGTAGCAGTCTGTGAGCCAGTTGTGGTTGGAGAAATTGTGCTGGTTGTCTGCTGAGATGTGGTTTCTCCACCTTAATAGACGAGGTAAAGTAGAGTAGTTTATTCATACAGGACAAATGACCGAAAGTACCAGTTTGTCTTCTTTCGCCCGAATGACGCACAAATGTATAGAAACCGAGGCTCCCCAGGTGTGTGTCTGTATCTTAGATATAACGCCACTTTAACTGCTGGTATTTTTAATTCTGTTCCCACTACG